TTTCAACGAATACTGTATTGGTTCTTGCCCCTAGTTGCCTATGGGAGGAGACATTTAAGCTGATCGCGGCTTCATGGCGTTTTGTGCACCTGTTGTGCCATATGCGTCTCACCCCAGTTTGTTTTCTGAAGTCACCTCGCGCTCATTGCGTACGATATTTCAGGAGCTGGTACTCCTTATATGGAACCACATGAGCATCAAAGTGGACTCGTTCACAGGAGTATGTTGTGCATGCAATCGCAATCTGCTAACTTGCCTATAGATACTTTCCCCCCTTGGGTGCACCTTGAAAATATGTTATCGATACTCCTTTTGTAAGCGAAACATTAGAAAATCTACTGATCTTCGTCTTATTTTTTACCATGTTTTGCAGTACCGTGAATGTGATATACTTTTCATCATGGGATTCGTCTCGAGAATGGTCCAGTGAGCTGCCTGACGATGAAAGCGTTGAGGTAATTTTTCTGTCTTAAAAGAGTTTTGTTCTAGACTCGTTTTACCATTTGCAGTTTTAGTGCTTATGCCTTGGCCGCAACTGGTTGGCCGTCGTAACGGACAAACAGTTGGTTCGGCTATTTCTCCTCTCTGGCACAGAGATTTACCTGTTTGAGCACCCTGGAAACGTTTTGGCCGTCGCTGGCTGGAACGAGTTCCTAATGGTAGCGTATTCTACGGGCGTCAGTAAGTATTGATTTTTTAATCACTGATTTTGTTATCGACTTTTCGTCTGTTCAGTGCCTGTCTTGAGCAATAAAAACGAACCGGAATGCGTCGACGATTAAATTACTTCAGTGTACCTGCGAGCAAGCTAGCGGTGCCATAATGCTGCAAAATTCGACTTTGTGAAATTTTATGCTTAATGGCATGCTTTATATAATCGATAGAGTGGAGCCAACTGTATAAATATGCATATATGCATATTGTGTATTATAGCATATTATATTTATAGTACAGAAACTGCATAAATATATAATATATGGTAAAATATATAGCATGTACACAATACAGTTTGCCTTATTGTACATGTAAAATACAGCACGGATGACTACGTCATTGGTTTAACCATCTGTCTCATTTTAACATTTTTCTGTATAGCGTAGTAAACCGCGGCATTGAACAGTGCTAGCAAGAGAACTTTGTCTTAACGGACGTCGCATATGATGTTGATCTCTGACAGGCCACCGCATATTCTATACAGTATGCTTTATAGGTGATGCAACTATACAATTTGCTGCATTGTATATATTATATATTTTTGTATATGCAGAGAAGTGTCATCCAAAATGAAACCGAATGGCTTACTACCAGACCAAGATGAAGTTCCAACCAGCCATACGTTTATCAAATGGACGTTATTGTTTAGTGGGTGATTCCAGAAGTTGCGTGGAGGTCTGGTGAGCACCAAGGAAGTGGTGGCGCTACAAGTCAGTTTGATAGAATCAAACCTGATGAAAACATCAGCGGTAACCGCTGACGCTGAAGTCAAATGGAATGGTAGCATAGTTTTGAAAGTAGACGCCTTCAAATATCGAGTTGAGTCATCACCAATGATGGATACTTGATAAAGACATAAATCGACAGGGCTGGCAATAACCAACTGTGCACAGCAGCATATTTGCCAAGAAAACGATGAAATAAGGGTTTTCATCTTGAAAAAAAGCAGTCTTCTTCATTCTGCTGTACGGATTCAAACCACTATAGAGAAGCGTCAAGAAAATCAACATAACTGCTTGGAACGACACCGTTGGTACAATTTTCTCAGTGTTCAGTGGTGTCGTCGAGTAATGAACATCACATTCTTAAAACCACTTAAATGAAAAATCACTGAGGAGCGTGAGAACGGCACTTCTTATTGTTTGATAAAATCGCTCAGAAGGTTGAATGAAAACTTAATCAGAAAATTTTCCTGCTGAGGCCAATTTAGCCGTTCACTATGCAAAAAATGCAGGTATACTGACGACAAGGAATATTTCCTTTGCTGATCGGTTAATTTCTTAAATGTTCTGAGGAATCTCCACCTTACTGTCGATCGTAATTAGTCTAAAGGAAGAGAGCTGTTAAGTTTGCCTTATCTTAGTTGATAATGACAACGTCGGACCATGTATCAGTGATTATAGACCTGAACTACCGCGACTGTGTTTCACGTTTGCGAATGACAGTATTGTTGTTGCAACGATGAGAAACCGTGAAGACCTCAAAGAATATGTGAGCGACATAAAGCTGATGTTACACTGTCACTAATCCAACTCACTGATTTATCCTTAACGCGCAAGCGTGTGGAGTGCATCTTTATCCCTCTAAATATGCGGGACCACCGCTTCAATCTTTCTAAAGAAGAAAATAATTTAATCTTCAAGCTAGTCACTCGGGTTACAGATTTGAAGTACTTGGGTGTGGTTGTTAATGACAGATTTAACTGGTCTCATAATGTAGTTTTCGTCATCAACATGCCGAGAAATGCTAACTTCTACCTTCGCCGTTGACGCTTTTTCAGAGCTGTTTTTCGCTGGCAATTTGGAAGCACTCTTTAATGTCAATTATCACTTATCTACTCTATTTTTCAGCCTTGACGTTAGATGGTTTTGTGCTGTTGCAGCGATGTATTAGGACATTCACAAGATCTGGAGAGGATTGCAATACGTTCTCCTGGCTAAGTTCGTCGCGCAGATTGTTTATGTCAGTTTGGTCTACTTTACTGAATATGTTTTGCATAAGACTACCACATCCACTACTCTCAGACATCCGCTACACAAGGAAAGTTCATAGTCTTGAGAACAAGAACGGAACTGTACAGAAAATCATTAGCAGCTCGATTAAGTTGTACCTTCACGAATTCTCCTGCTTTTTAAGTGTCGTTTTTTCTATACTGTATATATGTGGCTGCAGAAAGCAGAGAAAGATTCTTCATGCACATTAAGGAATACTGATGCTGAAATAACAACGGCATATAGAATATGTGCTATCTTGTATATTTGTTCATTGAACTAATCTTTTGCTATATGTTTGATGTATTATCAGGTGCCTGATACTTTTTATGATGTATCTTCTTCTATCTGCTTTCTACTTAAAAAAACGATTTTTAGTTTCCTTTCATATATCCAATTTAGTTTTTTCTGTTAAGATGTTTCCTAAATTCAGATTACAGAGGAGAGGGCTTTACGCGATGCGCGTTGTATCAAGTAAGAACCACTGATTGGACAGCAGAATCACCAGTCATAAAGAAGTTGCATGAGTTCGACCTGGTCCTACGAGAAGCGCATCATCTCGTATGGATGGGGTAAAGTGTAACTTGTCTGTGAATTGGCGTTTCAATACCTGTTTTTGAATAGGTTCACGAAAGAGGGAAGCCCATCTACGGTGGATTCTGATGGCACTGTCCGAATCTTGTCCATGAGTTCGTTACTTTGGACACCCGTCTTAGTTCTAACGGTAATTTACGTGAAATTTACGTTAGTGTTTTAATCAGCAGCAATATACTGTCATTGACAGTGTTCGGTTAGATCTGATGGTTTAGCTATTAGATAACACTTGGCAGGTTTTAGAGTTCCAGGCAAACTCAGGAAGGGACACTGAGAGAGACGAGAGGCTGGCTGGTAGAATTAGACAAGACGCAAGCAGATGGATAGATAGACTATCAAAATGAGGGTCAGACAATACAATGGATACAGTGGAGAATAGCATATACGCTCTTAAGTCAGAATACTTTGCTGCTATTGACAATGTTCAATAGGTTGAAACGATCCTGCGGTACATATGAAATCGCCAGTTGAATCTGATGGATCAACGATTAGAACATGCTTGACAAATTTTATGGGTCCAGGCAAATTCAGGGAAAAGATGGTGATAGAGAAATAGACAGGAGTAGAAAGGAAGCAGGAGAAACGGGTATGCGACCAGTTGAATGACCGTCAAAGATCTGAAAACGGTGTCTAAGTTGTTCTTTCCAAGAAGTAATAGATTATCTCGTTTTGCAGTATTCCGTTGACATTTTCGTATGAAGACCTTCGAAAGTGGCTAAGAACAAATCCATTACTAAACAGTATGTGGTCGAAATACACGCGTTTGCTACCTGATCGACCACTTGGAGAAACTTCTCAAGTCAGCAACGAAACTAGAATGGGATTCCTGATCATTTTTCTTGAAGATCACTAGAATCTTCTATCGACTGAAACAATTTAAGATTGACGAAATGTTCTGCAAGGTTTCGTATGCCTTCTTCATTAGTCGAATCTGATATCATCGCTGAAGGGATGAGCCCATTACTACAGATCCGTTGTTTGATACGTTAAAATTGTTTATATAACTATTTTGAATGCACTTTGCACTTATATGCCATATCGATGCTAAGCATATTGCCAAAATACACACAGTGATCTCGTTATCTGCCATAGGGACAATTTTTTCGAATCATAGGCTAAATTACGTCAGTCTTCGTGGTCATTGTTTTAGAAAATCTGTGAAATCATGTCTCCAAGATCGACGAAATATTTTGTATATTGTACGTATGCCTTGTCAGTTAACCGAAACTTCTGACCATATCACGGAGTTGAACAACGATAAGAGTAAAGAATGGAATGCCAGAGAAAACCCACTGCACTTTATTCATTCTAACCATTATTATTCTATTAGAGAAGTGAGACGATAGGCTAGCAACGTGTTTGTATCGGAGAACTGACAGATCTTGTAACGTGATTATGTTTATTCCGTCCTCGAGGGGTGCATTCTGACTACAAATTTTCAGATGTGAAATTAATGCTATCTGTCGTATTTGTTGCAATGGGGAGTAAAAAGCATGAACCACTCTTTCCTCTTAACAGAGGATAATGTTTGATTGGGCTTTTACCTATTCAGAACTGATTCGCTGACCATACATTGACCGGCATCCGAAAGTGTTTTCAACCAACTGACCTTAATGATTTCACTTCATCTGGATTATTAACTTGTATTCACATCGGCGTCTGCGGATGAAATATGTTACCCACGTCACATGTTCTTCATGATATTCAATCCGCTCTCAAATAGTGAAAGGGACAGGGGATCTTAGTGGAGGTAGCGACCTACAGTTCGTTTTGCTCCTTGCAAACGAGAAGTTTAACTAGATTACAAACTTTAAAAAAGTTGAGGGCAGTTGCCTTCTATGCCAGTTTACCTATCCTACGAAAGCCCATTATTGGAAGTAGCATTTTTCTGCAACATTATGACCTTATATAAGGAGTTCGGTTATTACAACGGTTATTACAACGCATCCGCTCGAATTCACAGAGTTATAGCAACTTGGTTGTCCGTCCTACTACCCCTGTTACGAATACCGTTTCGTTCGATTTGCACACGTAACTTTGAAACTCTTTTTTAGACTAAGCACGAAGATGATAAAATGTGGGTAGTTGGAGTGATTGAGAAACCGCCGCAGGTACGCGTCATTCTGTGCAAAGCCAGTGAATATCCAAAAATTGCTCCCCGACCCCCTGTTTTGTCGATTCCTTGGAAAATTCCGCTTTGCGATGCTGATACAGAAAGATCTAACAACGAACATGTACTAATATCTTCTAAGATTGCCTCTGCCTCCTTGTCGAATCGCTCCAAAAACGCATCGAATGTCGCTTCATTGAACACCACCGAAATAGAGTGCCTGCTGAAGCTGTTTGCAGTAAGTGCTTTTTCTAATTGTGAGAACTACCGCATGGCATAACTTCAGGTTTTGTGTTGTCTAAAATATATTTGTTTCGTTACGAATAGTGGTCAGTTTAGTAGGCGCTTTAGAGCGCTCTTATTTAACGGACTCAGAAATGCGCTTCTTCATCAAGTACCATGGGCTGTTGCTTACATAGTCCCCGTGAGCTTCTAGTAAACACAGGAGATCTCTTACGCCGAGTTAATCTCTTATTAGGAATTGAAATATTTGCTATTAAATACCCTTGCTTTATCAAAACAGCGCAAAGCACGGTTTATTTATATACAGCGAAAATAATTTGATAAACACAATGATTGACAAGTACCTAGTTTCGACCTGTTTCTCACGTTCCTTGTTAAAGACGATGCGGCGAGTGAGCAGTGGAGGTCGTTGTGTCGTCTGCAGTAGATCGAGATGCCGATTGAGAAGTTTTCTGGTGATATGTCCGATATCACTCATCCAGTCCATGCAGAGTTCTGATCTTTAGTCAAGATTGTCGTTGTAACAGAATTAGATGATTGATGTCTCCTTGCGCACCCCTCCCTCATATTCAGCCGGTATCTTTATCTAGTCACTGCGCTACACTTTGGCTACCATGGGACGTCTTTCCTGTACCGCGTGCTGTATAATCCCGGAGGTCTCCTCGCTCTGCTAAATGAACTGTGCTTTGTTCGGTTTCAACATGACTACCAACACAAGAACCAA